TCTGGAGAATGTTCCATGTGCACTTGAGAAAAATGTGTATTCTGCTTTTTTTGAGTGGAGTGTTTGTATATGTCTGTTAGGTATAGTTGGTTTATAGTGTTGTTCAAGTCTTCCATTTCAGTCTTCAACTATTATTGTGAAACTGTTTCTCCCTTCAATTCTTTCAATGTTTGCTTCATATATTTTGGAGCTCTGTTGTTGGGTGTATATGTCTTTATAATTGTTATATGTTCTTGATTGATTGACCCTTTTATTAATATGTAATGCCCTTCTTTGCCTCCTGTGTATTAAAAAACTACCTCAGTCCTTCCTCCTCCTGTGTTTCTCCTTTACTCCCATGCTACTACCACACTCACACTTCTGATACCAGATGTGTGGGAGTTTTTCTCCCCCAAGCAGTTCTCTGTGACCCCAGCTGGGTGTCCTACAATTCAACTAATTCTGACACTATCTACCTGTAGATAGCATCAGATCCTACAGCTTAAGGGCCTAGTCCCACAATACAGCTCCCACCCCACTTCCAGATGCCAACTGCAAGTCCAGGTTGTCATCTGTCTTCTGAAAATAGGCTGGAAATCTGAGGGTCCCATGACTCCCTCCTTGGGTTCAATTAATTTGCTAGAGTGGCCCACAGAACTCAGGAAAACAGTTTACTTACTGTTTACTAGTTTATTATAAAAGCATATGATAAAGGATACAGGTGAACATCTAGATGGAGGAGATGCATAGGGCAAGGTATGTGGGAAAGGGTGTGGAGCTTCCATGCCCTCTCTGGGCACACCACTTTCCCAGCACCTCCATGTGCTCACCGACCTAGAAGGTCCCTCAACCCTGTAACTTAGGGATTTTTATGGAGCCTTCCTCACGTAGGCATGATCAATTATTAACTCCATTTCCAGCCCTTTTCCCCTCTCTGGAGGATGGGGCGTGGGGCTGAAAATTCCAAACTTCTAATCATGGCTTGGTCTTTCTGGTGACCAGCCCCCATCCAGGAGCCATCCAGGAGTTGTTGGGTACATATATGTTTCTAATTGTTATATGTTCTTGATTGGTTGGCCCTTTTATTAATATGTAATGCCCTTGTTTACCTCCTGTAACAGTTTTTTACTGAAAAGCCTATTTTTTCAGATATCAGTATAACCACCCTAGCTCTCTTTTTCATTACTATTTCATGAATAAAGTTTTTCCATGCTTTCACTTTCAACCTAGTTGTTTCTTTGGATCTAATGTGAGTCTCGTATTCAGGATACAGTTGAATCATGTTTTTAATCCATTCTACCAATCTTGGCCTTTTAAAAGGTAAATTTAATCCATTTATGTTTAAAGTGATTATCTATAAGGAAGGACTTCTGCTATTTTGCTCTTTGTTTTCTCTATGTTTTATATCTTTTTTGTTCCTCAATTCCTCTGTTACTGCTTTCTTTTGTGTTTAATTGATTTTTTTTTTGGTGGCATGCCAATTGATTCACTCCTCATTTCCTTTTTTGTATGTTTTTTTAGTTATTTTTATAATGGTTACCCTGGGGATTACTGTTAACATCCTAACTTTGTAACAGTCTAGTTTGAATCAATATCATTTAGCTTCCATAGCATACAAAGACTCTGCTCATATACAGCTTTCCCACCCCATGTGTATTACTTTTGTCACAAATTACATCTTTATACATTGTGTTACTATTGACATAGATTTATAGTTATTGTTTTATGCATTGGAATTTTAAATAATACAGGTAACAAAAAGAAGAGTCAGAAACCACAAATACAACAATACTGGCTTTTATGTTTACCTCTGTAGTTACTTTTACTGGTGTTTTTTATTTCTTCATATAGCTTCAAGTTACTCTCTAATGTCCTTTTATTTCAGCCTGAAGTACTGTCTTTAGCATTTCTTAAAGGGCAGGTTTACTAATGATGAAATCCCCCAGCCTTTGTTTATTTGTGAATATCTTAATTTGCCTTAATTTTTGAAGGATAGCTTTACCAGATATATTAGTCTTGGTTAGCAGTTTTTCTTTCAGCACTTTAAATATATCATCCCACTGCCTTCTGGCCTCCGTTGTTTCTGATGAGAAATTGGTTGTTAATCTTACTGTGGATCCTTTGTAGATGACAAGTTGCTTCTGTCTTGCTGCTTTGAAGATGCTGTCCTTGTCTTTGTCTATTGACAGTCTGAGTATAATGTGTCTCAGTGTGGATCTCTGAGTTTATCCTACTTGGAATTTGTTGAGCTTCTTAGATGTCTGTTTTCATGTATTTCATAAAATTTGGAAAGTTTTGGCCATTTTATCTTCATAGAGTCTTTCTGCCTCTTTCTCTCTCTCCTCTCCTGCTGGGACTCCCATATGAATATGTTGGTAAGCTTGATAGTGTCCCACAGGTCCCTTTGCCTTTGTTTATTTTTTTTTCGGTCTTTCTTTCTGCTCCTCAGGCTGGATAATTTCAACTGAGCTTTCTTTATGTTTGTTGATTCTTTCTTCTGTCTGCTCAAAATCTGCTGTTGCAGCCCTCTAGTGAATTTTTAATTCAATCCATTGTACTTTTCAGCTCCAAAATTTCTATTTGGTTCTTTTTTATATTTTCTGTCTCCTTATTGATATTCTCTTTTTTGTTGAGATATGGTTCTCTGATCATATTTAAGACAGTTAACTTAAAGTCTTTCTATAGTAAGTCCAATGTCTGGGATTCCTCATGGACAGTTTTTATCAATTTCTTTTTTCCTGTAAATGAGATATACTTTCCTGTTTTTTTGTTTTTTTTTTTGCACGCCTCATAATTTTTTTGTTGAAAACTGGACATTTTGAATGTTATAATGTGGTAACTCTGGGAATCATATTTTCTTTCCTCCGCAGAGTTTGCTGTTGTTGCAAATGATTCTTTTGGAAAGTCACTAAATAAACAGATAACTGCAGCTCACAATAAGCAACAACAGCAAACTCTGGGGAGGAGAGAAAATATGATTTCTAGAGTTACTAGACTTTCCAAATGATTTTTTTGGAAAGACTGCATTCCTTGTGTTGGTCACTGAAGTGTCCATTCCATTGCCTCAGTTGTCAGCTGAGATTTTTTGACAGAGATTTCTTTAAATGCCTTAATTAAGCAGACTTTTTCTTTGTTAAGCATTTCCCCTATTGTACATTTTTTATTAGATTCTGGAGCCCCAAAAAAGTTGATTGTTACAGTTTTTGCCAGCTTAATGGTTGCTTGAGTGGAGGGACAGATCCTTGGAGCTCCCAACTCCACCATTTTGGGAGGCATCACTCCTTCCATCCTTATATTTTTAATATGTATACTTTAACTTGTATTTTCTTTAAATGTCTAGATTTAATTATTATCTACATCTTATCCCCTCTTGAATAAGACATGAACCTTGAATGGAATTCCTTTTGCATGTTACTTTATACATAGTATCCCTCAATCTTCACAACTTTGCAAGGCAGGTGGTATCTATTATTTTAATTTTACGGGTGAAGATAGTGAAACTTAGAAAAGTTCTCCTAGGCTATAAAGCTAATGGGTCCATCCAGGATCTCAAAGTGACTGTTTGATCCTGAGACTCAAGGTCTTTCTACCATACCACACTTCTTTCCCTGAGGTGGAAAAACTTTCAGACTCAACAAAATAACATTGACAGCCATTGGGACTAGTAGGGTTGGGTCCTTTCTCAAACAACTCCATTACCAGTAGTCATTTCTTTCTAGGGACAATCAATTATCCCTCTTTTTTAAAAAAAAATTCTTTAATAAGTCAGGAGGCAGGGGTTTTGCCTCTTTGCTTAAGGAGGAAGACCTGAAAAATGGACTCATTTTCCTACAAAGAGGCCCTTCTGGAAGGAAGTAGGAGACTGGATTCCTCTAATGAAGTAGAATTCTAGAGAAGTTTGAAGCTGGTCATTAGGAGGAGTGGGAGTAGGGTCATTATGAGGAAGTTTTCACTGTCATTTTACTTCTCTTTTAGGTTTAGCAGTAGCAGCAGCAGTTTGACCTCATCGGTAGGACCTTTCTAGACCATCTTCCCATTAAATCCTATAGGTGTTGCATGTGGATTGTGAGGAGAATGTGATAAAACTGGATGTTTGTTTGTATTTGTATAGGATGAGATACTTTTATATGTGTGTTTTGTCATTCAGATCATTCACTTCCAGTAATCTTCTTCCCAATTCAGCCCAAGTGTTCTTTTTGTTCCCTTTGTGTGAGTATTGTGTGTACCATTTCTCTTTCCATTAATTCAGCAAACACTTACTGAGCACCTACTCTGCATTGTGTTAGGCTTCCTTAGTTTGAAATCAAATAATACAAATCCCTGCCCTCACAGTAAATTGTGGGTGACAGATTTACTAATCATCTCTTAAATACTATATAACAAATGACTCCAATGGAAGTGTGTGCAGGATACTATGGAGAGTTGAAGAGACATCTGAATCAGATTAGGAGAACAAGGGAAAGCTACTTTTTTTTTTGCTGAGGAAGATTTGCCCTGAGCTAACATCCATTGCCAATCTTCCTCTTTTTGCTTAAGGAAGATTTGCCCTGAGCTAACTTCTGTGCCAATCTTCCTCTATTTTGTATGTGGGTCACTGTCACAGCATGGCCACCGATGAATGGTGTAGGTCCATGCCTGGGAACTGAACCCAGGCTGCCAAAGCGGAGTGTGCCAAACTTACCCACTAGGCCACGGAGCCAGCCCCAAGGGAAAGCTTCTTTAAGAAGTGAATTTACAGCTGAATTTTGTAGGGTCAGTAAAGTAACTTATGAAATTACTCACTAAATGGATGTTGGGTGAGTGAATCAGAATTAGATGACACTGGGAGGACATTTGCAGCGAGGGTGCAAAAATAGAAAGATATAAAAAGTATGTGGCACTTTCAGGGACTCCTGCAGTTGAGTATGGATTAAGTAAAGGGTCCACTTGTAGGGGAGTGTGAGGAGCTGAGGTAGGTATCATTCTATTTTCACCCTTCTGGATGAGATCTTAATTTACCTTGCTTTTTCCTCTCATTGCAGTTTACCCTTCCCTGGAGTCTGATGATGATGACCCTGCTTTGAAATCTCGACCCAAGAAAAAGAAGAATTCAGATGACGCTCCATGGAGTCCTAAAGGTAATCCAGTATTCTGTCCTTAAACTCTGTGGGGGTGGTTGGGGAAAAAAATAGGCTGGGAGTAGGTGGGATATTTAATATGGGAACATGATTCAGTCACTCATTTGTTTATGTGGCAAACATATATTGAGTGCCTCTTGTGTGCCAGGTACCATGTTAGGTTCTGGAGCAAAAATGATCAATAAGACACAGAGTTCGTGTACTCAGTTCAGCAAAGCTGGAGGTAATGGAAATGCTGTTTCCAATGTTATGTGGCTTGAGATGAAAAGAGGAAGACTTTGAACAAATTTTAGCAAACAATCTAAGGCTTCTGAAAACATTCTGCTGCCATAATCCCAGCTCTTTGGTACTATTGTTGTCAAAGGAGGGAAATTGTGCTCACTGTTGAGCTCTACAAGGCCCAAGACTCCTTAGACTGTCACCTGTACTGGCTGAGAGGCTATCTCTGAGGAAGGAAGAAAGAATGATTATTAAGTTGAACAGGGAATTTAGAGGGTAATAAAAGAATTTTATTCATCTCATTGGCTGGATGGTTTTCACATCGGAGGGTGTGTCAGTTAGCTTTTGCTGCTTACAAACTACCCAAAACTTAGTGGCTTAGAACAGCAAGAGAAGACAAGCCCCAATGTGCAAGCACTTTTGAAGCCTCTGTTTGTGTCATGTTTTCTATTGTCCCATTGGCCAAAGCAAGTTACATGGCTAAGCCTCGATTCCAGGGGTGGAGAAATACATTCCATCTCCTGAGAGAGGGAGCTGCAAAATCCTCCTATGCATACAAAGAGATGTGAGCACATTGAGAGCCATTACGGTCAGCAGACTGCCTCAGAGGGTGCTGACATCTCAGTACCTGTGGTTCCTCAGGAATCCAAGGGCCCGCTGTCCCCACCCAGCTCTATTTGGCCTTTCTGGTGTTTGCTTGGGGTTGGGAGAGAGGGGTGGCAGGGCAGTCCTGGGAGTGTTCTCTCGGTGAGTCAGTCAGCAAATGTTTCTTTTTTCTTTCTTCAGACCTATTTTCTGATTTTATTTTCTCCTGTAGTTTCTGGCTGATTAGCATAATAGCAAATTTGGAAAATACAGAAAATAGAGGAAAGTGTAAAGAAGAAACCACCCGTGATTCTGCCACCCAGAAGGAACCACTGTTAACATTTTGACATATTTCCTTCTGGTATTTTTTCCTGTGCATTTTCTTTTTATGTCCTACTTTAAAATTTTTTGCCTTTTAATCAAAATAATGTGTATATCTGGTAGCAAATCAAATAATATAGAGGAGTTCAGGATGAAATGCAATGGTCTTCTGCCTCTGCTTTTTCCACCTCCAATCCCATACCTAAGAGGCAACCTCATAGTTTCTGGTTTCTTATTTTTCTGGTAATTTCCTCCAAAACTCAAGATAATAGGGTTTATACCACCATTTCTTGGTTTATCAGCTTAATCTCTATCTCTCCTTGCATCAGCTTCTGTCAGTCTCTCTTGATTACCCACTTTCTAAGATAATGGACAGTAGTGCTTCTTTCTTCCTCCCTCCAACCTTCTATGAGCCACACTCTTTCATTTACATTGTCTAGGTTGTTAACATTTATGTTGTCTTGCAGTTAATACTCTACATTGACTAGAGGTTGACTGTAAATTTGAAAAACAATAAATATATATGGCCTTTTAAATTAATATTATATCATAAGCATGTCCCTGTGCTGTTGTTTATAAATAATATTTTAATGCCTACAAAATATTCTATTCCATGGGTATACCTACTTTACCTAACTTCTCCTTTAATGTGGGGGCATTTAGCCTATTGCCAAGTTTCCACAATTAGTGATAGCATTTGAGGTAAATATCTTTATATGTAAGTGTTTGTGTCTCTGATTTTTTACTTAGGATGGATCCCCATGAAAGACTAAAAGGGCCAAAGTATATGAGGGTATACAGTGAAAAGTCTCCCTCCCACCCCTGCTCTGCAGCCTTCCAGTTCCCCACCTGGGGTCAGCCACTGTTATCAGTTTGATGTTTATCCTTTCAGAGGTAGTTTATACATATACAAGTAAATATGGGTATATATTTTCTTTCCCTCTCTTTTTTTACTCAATTGGAAGCATACTTTACACACTGTGTGCTTTCCTGTTTTCACTTAACAATTACGTCTTAGAGATTGTTTATACTCCCACAAGCAATGCATGAGAGTGCCTGTTTCCCTACACCTTTGCCAATACAATTTGTTAACATGAATGTTTTAAAAGCTCGTGATATGTATCGCCAAGCTGCTTTCCAGAAAGGTTGTACTAGTTTACACTCCCACCAGCCATGTGTGAGAGTACTTGTTTATGAATCCTTACAGGCGTTGAGCATATCAGTTAGGAATAGTGTTTGCCTGTGAGTAACAGAAACCTCTCAGGCATCTTTAGTGAGTGCTTATCCCCTCAAGGTCACAAGATGGCTGCTTTACCTACAGCAGAGGGGTCTGAGTTGCAATCAGGAAGAAGAGGAAGAGCAAAAGGAAAAAGGAACAGGCCTGCTGAGCGCCCTTGCCCAAGGAGTTTTTAGTTCTACATTTTGTTATATCTCTGTGGCTAAAATTGTGTCACATGGCCAAGATTATCTGCTGGGGAGGTCAGGAAATGTAGTTTTTAGCTAGATACATTGCTGTCCCACAAAGTCATGTCTTTTTTAGTAAGCAAGAAAGGGAGAATGATACTGAGGTTGATAACAAGCAGTCTCCACCATGATATTCTTTTGATCTTTGGTAATTCACAAGCAAACAACAGTATCTCATTGATTTAATTTGGATTTCTTTGACTAAATATTTTCTATATGTTTGTATTAGCATTAGAATTTCTTCTTTTATAAATTTTATTTCTGACCTTTGCCCATTTATCCATGTTGGTCTTCAGGCTTTTCAAATTGCCCTTTTGATAAAGGGAATAGTCATCCTTTATATATATATATATATATATATATATATATATATGTAATTTATTTATGGTATATTTTCCTCATTCTACATAAAAATTCTGAATATTTATATATCAAAAGTTGATCTTACCTATTGTTTCCCTGTTCAGAGAGCAGATAATTAACATCTCTGTATTTCTTCAATATTTCTCTAGAGAGAAAGGTAATAACTTTTATCATGTTTTCAAAGTGGATTCTTAACCCAAAAAAGATTGAGGCATTCTACTAAAGGTATTCCCATTAAAATAAGGAATAAGACAAATATATCCACATCATCTCTGCTGTTATTTAGCATTGTTCTAAAAGTTCTAGACAGCATGATTAGTAATGAAGCAGAAACAACTGTAACTATTAGAAATTAAAAGATCAGACAATCATGATATGAGGCTCACTAAGGGTGGAAATCCTGTATATTTTTGTCCATCATTGTATCTGTAGCACTTTGCATAGTGCCTTGGCCATGGGAAGTATTTAATAAGTATTTGACAAGTGAAAAAAATGATGTGGTTGTATAATTAGAAAATGCAAAAGAATCAACTGAAAAACTGTTTGAACTAATATGAGAATTAAATAAATTGGGTAATCACTGGATATAAACCACATATCCAAAAATCAAGAATTGTCATATATCAGTAATAACCATAATACACAGAACAAAAGATCCTATTGACAATAACAACAATTATATAAAATACCCAGGAGTAATCTTAAGAAGATGTGTGTGAGAACTACATGAAGAAAACTTCAAAACTTTACTGAGGACATAAAAGAAGATCTGAATGAATAGAGATGTACCATGTGCCTAGTTACAAAGACTGAGTGTTGTAAAGGGTCATTTAATTTAATGTATGTGTTTAGTATATGTTTAACACTATGCCAAATCAAAATCCTAATGAAATTTTGTGGGGAACTCATTCCAAAATTAATTTATAAGAGTAAACATGTATTATTAGTTTAAAGAATTTGAGAATAGAAAAAGTAAGTGAAAAGAAATTAGCCATATAAGATATTTAAATATACTATAGTGCTACAATAGTCAAATTAATGTGGTCACAAAGACAAGAATAATAAGTAAATATTTTCCCTTTTATATGTTTAAAAAATTTTTGTTATGAAAATTTTCAAATGTACACAAAATTAGAGAGGTTAGTACTGCGAACACCCGTGTATTTATCACCCAGATTTAATAATTAACAGTTTGCTATATTTGCTTCATCCTTTGTTTCAAGGCATATCAAGGGAAATTTCAGATATCATGACATCTCTGTTTCCTTGCTGATCTTCTGTCTAATTCTCCTATCCATTATTGAAAGTCGGGCATTGAAGTCTCCAACTATTATTGTTGAATTATCTGTTCCTCCCTTTAATTCAGTCAGTTTTTGCTTCATGTATTTTGGGGCTCTGTTGTTAGGTGATATATGTTTATGCTTATTATATCTTATTGATTGATTGACCCTTTTATCATTATAAAATGTCCTTCTTTGTCTCTAATAACATTTTTGTCTTAGGGTCTATTTTGTCTAATATTAGTATAGCTATTCCATTTCTCATTTGGGTACTGTCATGGTATGTCTTTTTCCATCCTTTTATTTTCAGTCTGTGTATGAATCTAAAGTGTGTATCTTGTAGATAGCGTATCGTAGGATTATGGTTTTTTATCCATTCTGCCAATCTCTGCCTTTTAATTGGAGAATGTAATCCATTTATACTTAATGTAATAACTGTCAAAGTAGGGTTTAAATTGTCCATTTTTCTGTTTGTTTTCTCTATGTCTTATTTATTTTTTGTTCCTCAATTCTTCCGTTACTGCCTTCTTTTGTATTTGATAGCTATTTTCTAGTGTCTCATTTTAATTCCATTCTTTTCTATATCTATTTCAGTTATTTTCTTAGTGATTGTCCTGAGGATTAACATTAATGTCTTAATTTATTCCATTCTAATTCAGATTAATATCAGCTTAATTTCAATAGTATACAAAAACTTTGCTCTTTTATAGTTCCATTCCTTTCTCATTTATGCTATTACTGTCACAAATTACATCTTTATACGTTGTA